GCGCTTTACACAATTGATGTGTGTATGGATTGTGATAAGAGTTGTATGAGCCCCTAATAAAATGATTAAAAAAAAAAAGAAAACGGACTCACGGCAATCCACGGGGCAGAGCAGCGCTGCCCCCAGGCTAACTCAACAGCAATGGGTTAGTCTTTTGGGGAGCCAATTGCCAGGTCTTTCTGCCGTGGAGCCACTGGCTGGGTTTGAACTAACCTTTTAATTAGCAGCTGAGCTCCTAGCCTTTGTGCCACCAGGGCCCCTTCCTGGAAATCTACTTCCACATAAATCTTACTTGGATGTAAAAAAATGCAGGCAAGCGCTGGAACAAAAGAGATGAAGAGAAGCAACAAATGCGAGTGGGCCCAGGGAACATGACATTGTGGGTAGAGGGGGACACTGAGCAGCAGGTCGCAGGGGACTGATTTGACGTTGGCATGGGACACATCAGTCTGTCCCCTGTTCATGATATACGCTCACATTCCCACAAGAGGCTGCTTCCTTCCTGAATCACATTAGGGCTCTGTGGTTTTCATGGCTCCTGAGCATCAGAGTGGGGGACACTCAGGACTGGGCAGAGAGTGTATGTGGACAAATTCTTCATTCTCATGCTTGAGGAAGGCTGATAGGCTAGGCTTCTGAGTAGAGGAAGGCCTTCACAATTGTGAGTTGGAGAAGAGGCCCAGTCCCAGTCTCCTAATTAAAAACAATCCCCACAATATCCTCCCAGAAGAGCACAACCTTCCTGTTCCCTCTTTCAAGCACATGGCTAGTTCCTATCCAGCCGGCAGCTTTCTCTGTAGGGGCAGACATGTGCTACTGCTCTCCCTGCTCAGGGGACAGTCACGCCCCTTACCTGCCCCCAGCACTGGAGTTAGGCTACTCCCCCAATGAGTTCAGGGACCTCTAGGGTTTATATACTACCCACTTTGTTATGTGGGTAAGTGTCTGTGGTTGGGCGTGGGGGGCTTGCATGCCCCAACACTAGATTCGTTGGTGAAAAAATACATTTTCTGTCTCTCCCACTCGGACCTGGTTCCTGATGCCATGCATGTGAGCACCCCAAAACTTCTGTCTGCCTCTTACTTTCTTTCCTTCAATTACACAAGCTCCCACATCAGAGTCTGGTGCAAGTTCACCCTCAGGATGTTCATGTTCATAGAAACAGTGCAGACAGCAGCTAGTGGGCGTGGCCAAGGTCCACTGGGCGGGGGGAGGGGGGGTAGGCATATGGAGGGTCAGACCAAGTCAATATGTGTCACCCCTGACATCACGTGTCACTGTCCCCACAGGAGGGGCATCAGGTCCTCTGCTCTTGGCAGAACCTGAACCTCTGCAGAATCTGCCTCCATTACAATTCCTCTCAGGAAAAGTGGAGACCAGCATCAGGTGTGCAGAGCTGGGTGTTGATAGACGCACCCAGCACTGGCCTCAGATGGTCAGGTTTCAAGTCCCAGGCCCCTCCCCTGCCCAACCCAGTCCATCTCTTCACCATCCTGTGTGTGGGGCTCCTCACATGTTAAGATGAGGGAGCCCCTCAGAGGGCTTTCGTTAGGCAAGAGTAGTCAGTGCACGTAAGGGAGGCCCAGTGCCCAGTACTCTGTCCGGCTGCCAGGGCCCTTGGGGACATTTCGTTTTCTTTCACCCATTTCCTAGATTCCACAGGTGTTGCTCAGCCGTTATTGATCCAGCACGACTGAGCACCCAGAGTCCAGTGGGTGTGGCTGTGCATTGGGCTGCTAAATGCAAGGTCAGCGGTTCAATACCAACAGCTGCTCTGCCGGAGAAAGAGTTAGCTTTCTACTCCCCTAATGGGTGACAGTCTCAGACAGCCAAAGGGCAGGTCCTACCTACAGGGTCGCTATTGATCAGAATCAATTTTATGGCAGTGTGAGAATGACTTATAAGTTGGAATTGACTGATGGGGCAGCAAGGGGCTTGGTTTGTCTTTTTAAACTGAGCACAAGGTACGTTTTGGTGCTGCACATGCCGCAGCACCCAGAGACGTGCCTGCCTTTGTGGTGCCCACGGCCTGGTGGTGGGGAAGGAGCTGCCAGCAGGGCAAACCTCGAGGCCCTGCAGATCCCAGGCAATCAGGTGCAACGATGCAGGCAGAGATGGAGGCACAGGTACAGGCACATGCCCTTAAGTAGGGAGAAGGGTGAGGAAGGGTGTGGCCAGAGTCCGGCATGGGTCAGGCAGAGATAGGCCCAACGAAACAGCTCACTGACACGAGTTGATTCTGATGCCATGACTCAGCCAGGCTGTGTCTGTATGGCCCATCTTCTCACCTTGAGGCCCAGGAATCCCGCCTGCTACTCTTTCCCTAACAGATGGAGGTTCACTCTGGGTCTGCTTCCGAACGGCCACCACCGTGACCCATGATGAGACGGCAGCTCCCAGGACCTGAGGCCAAGGACCCTCGGGCTGTCAATTTCTGCCAGGGGGCTTGGTGCACGGTTGACCTTCAAGGGTCAAGCAAGCCAGTTTCCGGCAGTAAAATCCCCTGCCTTCTTTACAAGCAAAACCCAAACCAACCACAGAAAAGGAAGCCCAGGCAGAAGCTCAAGGCCTGGGTATACAGACAAACCCCTCTGCAGTGTGCTGTGCCCCACTCTCCAGATGCTGCATCTGTCACAGAGGGAATGGCTGCGGCCACCTGGGCGGAATAAGGGGCCATTTTCCCACAGCCTGTGCTCACCTGGTGTGTGCCGGGCCACTTTTGGTGATGCTCAGAACCCGTGCAACGTTTTCACCACGCCACTGCACGCGACAGTGCGTGTGAGCAAATCTTCCACGCGCACCGGGGACCCCAAATCTGCGCGGCCCACTGGATTGCTATACTTGCTTTACTGCAGAGGTCTGGGAGCCAACTCGGACACCAGCGGAGTGACTGGGCGCAGATGGGGCCTGGGGCCCTGCTCTGAGAAACTCCCAGACCCTCTGGGGCCTGCCTGTCGAGCAGCCGAGGGCAACCAAGGGCCCAGGATTGTGGACTCCATCCTGGTGCAGCTGCCAGGCTCGGGCGGGGATGGCGGTGAAAAAGATGGTGCTGGCCTCTGGGGGGTCCAGCTGCAGGGCCAGTGAAAATAGAAAAAAATACAAAAACAGGTGGCACCATCGCCACCAATTGCCTCAGGCCCGGTGCAAGCCATGTAAGACCCCGGTGGTCAATGTGGATTCCCAGCGCACAGCAGGTGCTCAGAGTGGTCGGTAGGATGAGCATGCTGAGCCTGGCAGCCAATGGCACGTGCCACCCTGTCTGAGTTGCTGGTGACCCCATGAGGTGAGGACGACGACGAGGAAACAGGCACAGCGAGGGGAGTCACAAGTGTGGCCCTCGGGGCCTTCCTGCTGCTCGGACCACCAGAGGCAGAAGCTCGTGCTGAGGCCCCAGTCTGCATGCACTGGCCCTGGGGACCTCATTCTCAGCCCTCTGTGGGCTACAGAAAGGTCCCCAAGTTGTTTCCCCATATTAAGACACGGGTCTATACACTTGGAGGTCAGCTGCACAGAGGTCATCTCCCCGAGGGCATCACCCATCCAGCGCAATCAGACCCTGTTGTCTGTCCCACCCAGGGAAGGACGAGGATAGTGGAGCGTTTCCCTGAAGGAGAGCCCAGAGACCAGGTCAAGTCAACTCAAGGAGGACCAAGGTTAAGCTGCCATCTTGAATCTAGGCTCCGCCCATCTTGTCACGTGTGGATCTAGTGCCTCTCCTTCCTATTGTGTGTACACTCTTAGCTCATCCCCTTCCTGCTGCGTGCCTATGCCTACTGTACAGCCCCTTCCTGTTACATATGTGGTTACCTATAATCAGGTGGGCTTGCACATCCCCCAAATGTATATAAGCTGGATTGGAAATATGCTCTCTCTTCTCCCACCTTCACGTGGACCACCAGGAGGGGCTGAGGTGAGCATGCTACCATGAAATGTGTCTGACTATTTTATTGCCTCTCCTATCGTCTATGACTTTACCGTAACTTTTATATACTATTGCCATACAATTGTGCCTAAGGACCCTGCGGTTGTTGGGCCTTGGCTGGATGGCAACTCTAACATCTTTGTTTGGACCAGGAGCCCCGTGGGGGTGGGGAGTCTGGCTCCTGCATCTATGGGGCCTGGAACAGCACCTGGAAGGACACCTGGCTCCTCGCAGCTGACTCAGTGTCAGCAGAGTGATTGGGTGCAGAGCAGGGGTCTGGGAACCCAGGTCTGAGAAAGTCTCAGTCACTCCCGCCAGTGTGATGCATGCCACACTGCCCGGTTCACTGTGTTAGGCAGGGTTCTCTAGAGAAACAAAACCAGGACACTTATGATTATATATATATATATATATGAGGAAAGATTTATACAGCGAGAAAGAATATAACACCTAATTTGTCCACACAGCAGTACAGAGGGCTCAGTTCAACTCACTTTCGTGGAACAGTTAATACATTGGAAGTCCTTCAACTCACGTGGCTGCTGTGTCCAAGGTCAAGGAAGCAGAAAGCAGGGCGTCCTCCCTCGGGCAAGGCAGGCAGTGTCTGCCAGCAGGCAGCAGGGTAGGTCAGCAAGTCAGTAGCTTGGAAGCTTAGTGAACTCAAGCAATGCAAGGCGACAGGATCCACCACCCTCCAGCTCAAACAATGTACGCACCAGCAGCGTGGCCAAGCAAGTCTTGAAAGCGCCTCAAGCTCTAGTGACCAATCCATGGGTTGGCTTGTCCCACAGGTAGGCCAGTCAGCATAAATGACATGGGAGATCTGGAGAGGACACGGAGCTGGCTGAGAATGTGCTACTCGGCAGGGCCACAGGTCAGGGCCTTTGGAGGCCAAGCAAGAGGCCAGTGATGTACTCACTTTGCTGCTGACAGCCAGGAGTCCAAGATGCATTTACTCCTCCTTTGGCCTCTTACAAAACAGCTCTGGCTCCTCGGCGGCACCTGAGGGAGAGAGGCGGTGAGAGGCTGGACCAGATTCCGAGCCCCATGTGGGTGAGGCACCTGCAGGGAAACCTCGGCCAGGCACGTCTGAAGCACCACTCATGCCCCTGACACAAATCCAGGTGTTGTTCCAGGAGACCTTGGCATCTCCTACCCTATTCCACAGGTGAGGAAATGGAGGCCTGGGAGGATGGGAAGGGCACAGCTTAGTCGCACAGCCAGTTTTCTCGAGTGATGATGATGATGATGATGATGATGATGATGGAAAATCCTACAGCCCTGGGATCCCAGCCCTGCCTGAGCAGTACCAGCCAGGTGAACCGTTCCTTTAGGGAAAGGCAGGGGGTCCCAGCTAAAGGCTGGCTGTTGACCCTGCCCAATTGTGCTGCAAAAGGACTGGTTATATTTCTGTGGTTGGGTGCCGGAAAGCTGACTTTCAACTCCGAGGGGCCCCTGTGTGGCAGAGTAGAACAGCCCCACAGTGTGTCCAAGGTGATAATAGTTTCAAGAGGAGTTACAGGGGTTAGTTGTTTGAAACCACGAGCTACTCTACAGGAGAAAGAGGGGCATTCTGCCTGCGTAAGGAAGGGGGCCTGGTGGTGTCATGGTTACCAACAGGGCTGGGAAATGCAAGGTAAGCAGTTCGAACCATCAGCTGCTCTTTGGGAGAAGGACAGGGCTTTCTACTCCCGATAAAGAGTTACAGTCTTGGAAATTCACAGGGGCAGTGCTACCCTGCCCTATAGGGTCACCAAGAGATGGCAACGAGTCCGTCCCCCAACCCCCAATCGTTACAGGAAGAGCTCGGTTGGTCTAGCTCTTAAGAGGTTTGAATCTTCAGCCACCCTGCGGGAGAAAGAGGTGGTACTTTGTTTCTTTAAGGATTTACGGTCTTGGAAAGCTGATGGGGCAGCTCGCTCTGCCCTTCCAGGGTTGTTATGAGTGGAGCCAAGGGGGTGACTGACAATGGGCTCATCTGTACAGTTCAAAGATCACCAGGGCTTTCTTTGGAGGAGCTGATAATCGTTTGTTTAGCAACTGAGTGCTTAATCACTGTGCCACCAGATCGCTTTCTCTGTAATGATTACAGCCCACGGGGGATGGTAGCAGTTAAGAGTCAAGGAAACAGCATGTCCAACGTGGCCTCTACAGGGCTGGCAGGGCACAGCAGTGGCAAAAGGACAGTGACTGCTGCTTGCTGAGGAGGGGGAGACCCTCTATGAGGGGGCTTCAAGCAGTTGGTGCAAAACGAGAATTGAAAGGCAGTGAAACTTTCCCAGGATTTTGGTGCCTACCACACACCCAGAGGTTTCCAGCAGTGCATCCCGGCTGATTCCCCCTACCCCTCAGCAAAACTCTCAGGCCAAATGGGAAGTGCTTCCTTGTTTTCTCTCCAAACCTTCCCCTGATGAGCCTGCCTACAAGACACCGGTGGGTCCCATCTGAACCCTAACCCTGTGGTCCACCCTGCAGCTCCAGGTTGGTGGAGGAGCTTGTTGAAAGATGTGCTTTGGAGTTTCCTGCCGTCTGTCCAGCTCCACAGTGGGCGGTACAAGGATGCATCTCCACTCAGGTCTTTGGTCCAGAACGAGGGTCTGACACCCAGAGGTGTACACTAAATAAATGAACTAATGGCGCTTGGGCCACGCCTAGCACACAAGAGTTTCACAGTCTATTTGGATCCCATGTCCACTCGGATACACATCTTGGGTCCCTGGTCTCTCCTTCCTCTACAGGTTAGAACCACAAGATGTGCAGGCCCCGGAGATGCCTTCCCGACCCCGCTCACTCCCACCCAGGCAGGAGGGATGCAGGCAAGGCTGGCTCCAGCCTTTCAGGAGTTCGATCAGCTCGTTCCTCTTCCTGACCCGAGATCAGGCGCTCCCACTCACTCCCCTCAGCTCCTGGAAGCCCCTAACTGGGCCCCGTCCCCTGGACGTCGCACGACAGCGGCCCCCGCCCAGAGCAGACACAGGTTCGGCGAGACCTGCGCGGTTTGGCCCACCTCCCGGCCGGGCCCCACCTGCTCGGATCCACAGAAAACCCCACTTACCCGCCCGCCGCCACGACAAAGGCCTAGGTCACCACCTGCGGGGTCTGCGTCTGCGCGCGCGGATACTGAACTACAACTCCCAGGAGCCAGCGCTCGCTTCCGGCCGTTCTTGTACTCCTCCCGGTGTCGGGGTAGGCACAGAGGTCAAGGCAACCAGGCTCCAAGTTCTAGCGCGAGGCCAAGCCTCTGCTGCCCTCGGCCCTTACTTCTCAACTTGACTGACTTTATCTGCCAGACGGCAGGATCCAGACCAGCGCGTGTCAGGCAGCGAACTACAACTCCCAGAGAGCATTGCGCGCTCCTCCGTTACACTCCGTGTTCCGTCCAAACCCGCCCAGAACACGGACCGAGGAAACAGGTTCCGGTCACCGGAGCTCAGCCTTCGGTCACTCGACGCAGCTCCTCCCTCCCATCACGCGCTATGAAAAGCTCAGGTTGAAGCTAAAGAAAATTAAAGCAAGTTCAGGGGCCGCTATCCCACTGAATATTGAGAACATCTCAAGAACGGATTTAAAAATTAACACTAATGGCAGAAGACGATGAGCTGTGGGAGAACATCAAGAATGTCATTCACGAAAATAAGCAAAAGGTCATTAAAAAGACAGGAGAAAGAAAAGATCAAAGTGGATGTTAGAAGAGACCTTGAAACTCACTCTTGATCATAGAGTAGCTAAAGCAAATGGAAGGGATGATGACACAACATTTCCAAGGGCAGCTCGAGCAGAAGTGTGATGATGATGATGAAATATGCAGAGACCTAGAGTTAGAGAACCATAAAGGATGAACATGCTCAGCATATCTTAACCTGAAAGAACAAATGAAAACATTCAAGCCTTGAGTAGTGACACTGAAAGATGCTGTGGGTAAAATATGGAATGATGCAGGAAGGACCGAAACAAGATGGGAGGAATGCAGAGAGTCACTGTACCAAAAAAGAACTTGTTCACATTCAACCACTGCAAGAGGTAGCATATGATCCACAAACAACAGCGCTGAGGGAAGTCCAAGCTGCACTGAGAGCATTAGCCAAAACTAAGCCTCCAGGAATTCATGGGATACCAATGGAAATGTTTCAACAACATGAGGAAGCACTGGAAACAATTACTCTTTTATGCCCAGAAATCTGGAAGACAGCCACTTGGCTAACTGTCTGAAGATCTATAGTTCTTCCAATTTCAAAGAAAGATGACCCAACAGAATGCTCAATAGAAGAATATCATTGATGTCACAGGTAAAATTTTGCTTAAGATTATTAAACAATGGCTGGAGCAGTACATTGACTGGGAGCTGCCAGAGGTTCAGGCAAGATTCAGAAGAGGATGTGGAGCCAGGGTTATCATTGCTGATGGCTGATGGATTTGGGGTGAAAGCAGAGAATACCAGAACGTTGTTTACTTGTGTTTTATTGACTATGCCAAGGCATTTGATTGTGTGGTTAATAAACTCTGGAATACGTCGAGAAGAATCAGGATGGTCAGAACGCTCCTTACAGGCAAGGGTGCGAGACTTGCTCTCGAACTGAGACCGTGCAGGAGAAAGCAGTCTCTAGAGAAGGACAGCATGCTTGCTCAAGTAGAGAGTCAGTGAAAAAAAGGAAGGCCTTTCACAAATGGGTTGACACCATGGCTGCAAAATGGGTCGAAACATAAGAACATTCATTGTGAGGTTGGCGCAGGACTGGGCAGCATTTCTTCTTGTTGTACAGTGGATTGCTATTAGTAGGAGCACTGCTTAATAACAGCAACAGAAGAAAGAGTAGTGTGGTAGTTACACAATTTCATGTTAACTTGATAAGTAAGTGTAGGGGTGGAGTCTAGCTTGTCAGTCAAGTCATGGCCTGATGACACCTTCTTGTGGGCGTGGCCTTCTTATGGGGGTTGTGGGAACTTCCTCCTCTTCTCCCTGAAGGTGGGCTACACTTCCTGTTGACAAGCCACATGGAGCCACCCTGATGGCCTGGAGATGCGCCCACAGCCATTGGATCCACAAGACCTGTGATCTTCCTGCATTCTGCATCATTGCGTGTGCCTGTGTGAGTCTGAAGAGTGATTTATGGACTAGTATCAAACTTATGGGCTAAAATTGGACTTAAGGATTTGATGTGGACTGGACTGGGATATTTTCTTAATATGCAATTACTGTTTGATATAAAACTCTTTCTTATACATTTATGAGTGTCCTTGGGTTTATTTCTCTAGTCAACCTCGCTGAGCACAGTGGCTGCATTCTCATCTCATGTTTCTGAAGCACTGCCCAGAAAGAGTGGGGTTCTCTTGAGCATTTGACCTGGTGGCAAGCTCTATGTTACTATTACTCACAGCAATGACCATGAAACTGGGACAGCACCAGGCAGTAACTCCTATCTCTTGTACTTAAAGTTGCTATGAGTTGGAACCAACTTCAGGGTTCCAACCACCACCACCTGGGGCACCAACACTGGGTCAGATACAGGGGGAAATAGAGGTAGCCTTCTTGTTGGTCAAATTTTGGAAAGGTGGTATGTTTTCAGATCTTGCTTAAGACTTGGTTTGCAGAAAAACCCAGAATACAACAGGTCCCTTCATTGCCCCTTGCAGAAAAATTCCTTTTTAAACTTAAATTCAGCAAGCTTAAAAGAACAGAACCAACTGGGCAGGCATGGCTGTTTAGATAAGCAACGGAGCCTGCGATCTTGAGGGAGTGACAGCATGCTTCCCTTTTCTGTGAACCCTGGTTCCTTGGTACAACTGGGGAAGCCCTCTGCTCACATAACAAATCTGTTAAGCATTCCATTAATTTGCCATATAGATTAGGGTAGATAGCCTGCTTCTTTATCCACTGACTTTCTGAAGTAGTTTTGGGAAGTTTGAAAACCTCAAAATTACCTTCTGTCAAGCGCTTGTAGACATAAACAGAATTTCTCCATCAACCAGGTCTCTATGTGGCTGAAACAGTGACCGGCATCCTCATCCGCCTGCATCGGACCCACAGTTCTGAGAGCCCCCTCGCCCCCACCCCCGCCCCTCTGGGAGTCGTTCAGTCCACAGTCCACAGTTGGCCGGCGCGGCAAAAGGCCCTAAAGCAGGATCAGTGAGTGACAGGCAGCGGGTAGGACCCACCTTGAGAAGAGCAGGATGAACCCCTGGAACCACAACCCAGCCTCCTCGGTCCCCGCGCTCCGGGCGGGCTTAGACTACACACTGTGCCGAACGGAAGCGCGCGCACAGCTCTCTGGGAGTTGTAGTTCAGTGTCCCAGCGCCGCGGGTACAAGACCGCCTGGTGGCGGTGCGGTCTCGACCCTGCTGTCCGGAGGGAAAGTCAGGCGCGTTGAGGAGAAGCCGAGGCCTGCATGAGG